ACCTAGATCGTAAAAACAGAGAGAATAAAGGTTTAATATCGATTTTGGGTTTAAAAATCCCTACCTTTGTAGCACTTATGTTCTTCGTTTCTAGGAAAGTCTGTGGGACGCAAAATGAGTCCATCGAATTCCCTAGGTGTCGCTAAATAACAGGTAAACACCGGATTCCCCTTTTCTCGCTCCTTCCTCTCACTCTAGGAACGACGATGAGTAAGTATATGGTACTCAGATCATTTGAAATAACGTGGTACTCATTCTGAAATAACGCAGTACTCATTTTGAAATAACGTAGTACTCATTTTCACACATTTGTACAATATTCATTTACGAATAAAGTAGTACTCATTCTAAAACCTAATAGTACTCATTTCCAAATAGTCTAGTACTCATTCTTAAGTAACATACCATTCATAAAAATCTAAAATCTTGTTAAAGACCATATTGGAATTAGAATAGATTGAATTAGAGCTTCTCCTACCAGATTTAAAATCGTGGAATCGGGGATCGGAAGAGTATTCTTCATCGGCGATCGATTACGCCCGAACCTTCCGCCTTCATCGCGGATACTCGATTTGGACACAAGTTTCCGGAACCGCAGAGCTGTTACGACGACGGAGGAGGGCGAAGAGAAAGATGCTAGAGACGGAGGAGATGAACATGGTGGGCGGCTGATTGAATCTTAATTGTGATCAATTTTAGTTCGGATGTACGGGAAGAACCGTACAGCCGGATGTACAATATAATTTGTGAACGGAAATACCTCTATCAAAAAAAGTTGTGGGCGGCAGATAGTTTGTGTTGTGGCAGAAGTAGTTTTCTCTATACTAACTTACACTAAAGGTATACACCAACATTTTGATGGTTCACACTAACAGAAAGTATTGATATATTAACAAAAATTTACACTAACACAAAGTGTTGTTTGTGTGTTAACAAAAATTAGCACTACACCAACACAAAATGTTGGTGCACACCTGTGGTATACAAATGGAGTACAAAAACCTTGGGGCACAAGTAACTTTATCCTACAATTTATATCAATTTTTATGGACCTTTGACATTAAAAAAATTGATTTTTTATTTTTAATTTAAAAAAGAGAAATGCTTATTTAAATATTAAAGAAATGCTTATTTTATTCTATAGTGTACCTTAGGTCCACTATAGAATATAATTTGTCGTTAAAAAACATTTCCATGCCAATATTTTTTTACTTTGAAAAAAAAAGAAGTAATCTTTCCTTTGGTAATATCTATGATGGACCTACATATGAGCAAAATAAGCATTTTTTATTACTTAAATAAGCATTTGTTTTTTAATTTTAAAAATAAAAAAAAGTTTTTTATGTGAGGTCCACAAAATGGTATGCACCCAAGGTGTGCCTAAGAAGCATTCATTTCCGTTTCCATTTAAATTGTTTGCTTTTTGTTGTTTTAAAATATTATGTCTGTTTCATATTATAGCAAGTCATTACAAGTAAAATTCATAAACTACCCGTCAAATGAAACATGTGTACTTTCTATATCTCAACCTTATGTGCTCACTTATGTACTCTCCCCATCCACGAACTTTCTCTTCAAATGCTTTTTTTACGCATCCTCTGATACAATGGAGTATTGGATAAGGAAGATTTTGAGCATCTTCGTAATCTAGAAAAGTGAAGTGAAGAAGAGTAGAAGGACATCAATGGTGTCGTGCGTCGTGAGAAGAGAGAGGGAAAGTAGGGTTGATGTATTCTTATTATTGATTGGATCTAATCAAACTGTGGGTCAGGCCAGGCCGAGGCGATACATTATGATAATTTTTTAGGCCAGAGCCCGACCTGGCCTGTATAATGGGCCAAACAATTGAAACCCCATTCTTAGTGCTAGTCGTGGCTCTTGAAAATTAATACCCTTCCGTCCTTAAATAACTTAAATAGTTTTTACACCGAGGGACTATCATAAAACAACATGTTGTTTATAAATTTATTGTTTGTATTGATTTTATGTAGTTTATAAAAATGGTATATGCCAGAGTATTAAAAATGTGTGATTATTTATTTAGAAGATAAAGTATATTATTTTTTTTAAAAAAAGACTTTTTAGATAAGAGTAAAAAGTTAGAATAAATTACTAAAACAAATCTCTATAATAGGGTATTTTTCTAATTTAGTCATCAATAAATTTTAATTACCTTACGGGATCCTTTATAATTGAAATTTATTTCCTAGATAGTCCTTTAGTAAGTACATTACTCAAATAATGAGTAATTAAAAGATATTTTAGTATTTCTAGCATCTATTAAAGTTTATTCTCAAAATAGTTATTTCTATATAATAAAATATAAATTAAAATAATACATTGACTATATATAATGTATATATTATTAAAAACCTATTAAAAAATCTTCTAAAATTCAAATCAAATACACATATTTAATTAATAAAAAACTATTTTAGGAAAGTATTTCATTAGAAATGATCATTTTAAGAATTTATTTTGAATTTAGTTGATAAAAAATATCAAAATACCTTTTAATTAATCATCATTTGAATAACTTTATTTCCAAGGATTACCTAGAGAATAAATCTTAATCATAGAGGACAATTTAAGTAATTAAAATTTAGTAAAGACTGATTTAGTAAAAAGACTTTATTAAAGATGATTATTTTGAGAATTTACTCTAATGGTTAAGATAGTGAGCCACATCATTTCTGGTTTTGCATCTAACATGACACGATATTGTCTCTTTACTTGAATAGTCAATTCAAGTATTATTGTGGATAATCCAGGAGATTATAAAATTTATATCAATATTAAGGGAAAACTCCCTTGATAGGAGTAAAAATTATAAAAATACTGAAATAAGAATCATGTCTTTTAAGACCAAAATAGGAGTTCACACTATCATTGTCATACTCAGCACATTTACACATTATAACTGTCACATTATCACCGCTACACTACCATCTATTGCTGCCGGCCACCATTGCGCAATCGCAAGTCACCAACAGTTGACAGATCACACTCATATGTTACATCGTCATCACTTTTCCAACATGTAACTGTTACAATTTTTGTACGGATTACAACGAACGGGAAAGATGAACGGCCCCGGTAATAAAAATAAATAAAATTCTGAATTTATAATTTATTCAGAATATTACAAAATAAACAAAGTTGAGAAAAATTGCTATATCTTCAAACGGCCTTGTTGTACGAGGACATTAAGGACTGGACAGTGAGGACGTTAAGCACTGGACAGCGAGGTCTTTAAGCACTGGGCAGCGAGGTCTTTAAGCACTGGACAGCAAGCAAAGGACGTTATGCACAGGGCTGCGAGGACATTATGCACTGGGCTGCGAGGACATTATGCACTAGGACAGAATGCAGCGAGGTCTTTATGAACTGAACCTGCAAAAACACAACACCGTGGAAGGA